TACACAGGTAGGAAAGGAAGAACTAAAACTCTCTTAATTCACTGAAAACATGATGTACTGTCATGCATCACTTCTCAGTATGGATACCTAGACTGTGCGGTACTGATCTCATGGGAACACATCATCTATGTGGTTCATCATTGACCAAAACATCATTATACAGCACATGACTGTATATAGAAAGAACCTACCAAAAAAAAAAAATGCAACTAGAGTAAGTGTGTTTAACATAGTCACACGATATAAGATCAATAACAAAAATCAATTATACATCTATGTAGTAACATTTAACAACTGGAAATTGAAATTTTAAAAATAATACTATTTTCAGTAGCAACAAAAATATTAAATACTTGGAGATCACTTTAACAAAATATGTTAAATACACCAAAATACATAAAAAAAAATTACAGAGAGAAATCAAAGAAGACAATAAATGAACTGAGAATTCTGCTTAAGAAATTCAAGAACAAGACAAAATAATAAAAAGAAAATACGAACACTGCCTAGCACTTACCTGTGTACTGCTGCTGCTTGAAGCAATTTAAATGGAGAGACATGCCATGTTCATGGATTGGAAGACTCAATATTGTTAAGATGTCATCTCTTCCCAAATTGATCTAGAGATGCAGCATAATTACCTAAATCCCAGGAGGTTTTTTGTGGAAATTGACAAACTAATCCTAAAATTTATATGGGAATACAAAAGACATAGAATATTCAAGACAATTTTGAAAAAGAGCAAGTTGAAGGACTTATACTATCTGATTTCAAGACTTACTATAAAGCTCTAGTAATCAAGACAGTATAGCATTGCTGTAAGGATAGACATATAGATTAATGGAACAGAATAGAGAATCCTGAGATAGACTCAAACATAAAAAGTCAATTGATTTTATATAAAGGTGCCAAGATAATTCAATAGAAGAAGGATATTCTGTTCAGTGAAAGGTCCTGGCAAAATTGGGTATTCATATAAAAAATGAATGTTCATCCTTACTTCACAACTTAAAGCAAAATTCAACTCGAAATGAATGACAGACCTAAGTATACAAGCTAACAGTATAAAACTTCTAGAAGAAAGCAAGAGGAAATCTTTTTGACTTTGGGATAGGCAAAGATATCTTAGATAGGACATAAGCATGAAGAATAAAGGGAAAAATATGTCTTTCCACTTCAGAAGACACTATTTAGGAACAAAAATGCAAATCAGAGACTGAAAGAAAATATTTGCAAAACTTATATCTCATAAAGGACTTGTGTCCAGAAGTTATAAAGAACTCTTAATTCCAACCCAATTGTTTTAAATGGTCAAAAGATTTGAGAAGAAGTTGTGACAACGCTTCACCAAAGGAAATATAGGAATAGGAAGTAAGCATATGACAAGATACTCAACGTCATTCATTGCTGGGGAAGTGCAAATTAAAACCACAATGAGATACCACTTCGTACTTACTAGTATGGCGAGAGAGAGAATTGATAAATAACTGTAGTTCATTCATGGAATGGAATGCTACTCAGTGATTAACCAACTATTGATACAACAAGAAAGATGCATCTCAAAGCGTTATGCAGGGCGGAAGAAGCCAGACGCAAACTACTCCTCACTGTATGATTCCATGTATGTGCAGTTCTCAAGGAGGCAATACTGAAGTGCTAGAAAGCACATCACTGGTTGCCAGGAGGTGGGAGAATGACTCTGAGGGGGCCTGAGGGAACTTTTGAGGAGATGGAATGTTCTGTACCATGATGCTGGAGGTGGTTACGCCACTGTGTACATTTTTCAAAGCTCTTCAAATGGCACACTTAAAATAGGTGACTTTGATTATATTTCAATTACACCTTCATAAAACTGATTTCGTTATTTAAAATGTTATGGGAGTATAGAACACAAGGAGATGCTTCCCAATTCTTTTGCAGCCCTGATACTACAGAAGGCAAAAGGACACAGAAAGAAAACAATGGTCCATCTTCCAAATTAAGAATGCAAAAATCCAAAATAAAATACTAGAGCATCAAATCCAACCTTATGTTAAAACATGAATGAGTAGGATTTATTCCAAGAATAAAAAGATGATTTAATTTTAGGACATCTATCAATGTCCTTTATCACATCAAAGTAGAAAAAAACCCTTCTTAACAGATGCCCAAAAGAAGGTAAAATTCCATCTATTTCTCAGAAAATAATTAATGAGCTGGGAATAACGCGCAGTACTTTAGTATGATAAAGAACACATAGCCCGAGTTAGCAGCCAGCATCACACTGAATAGTGACACTTCTTGAAAACAGTTCTGCAGAGAAATCATCCTATGGAATATTTGCCCCAAAAAAAGAAGATGATGGTTTTAGTAGTGAAGTTTGGGAAAGTTTACATCGCACCTTTGAGGATGTCACATCCCATTAACTTTTTTTTAAGATTCCAGGAAGTCCTGCAGTAAGGAAAGTTGTTTAATCCATTTTCCCAGACTTAGGTACGGGCCCTTTCTTTTTTCCCATAACGTCTATCAACATCCGAGAGAACGCTCCCCTAAAGATGTTGCCCCGAGAGCCTTCTCGTTAAATCCAGCAGCCGCCCAGGGTTGCCCTTACCTTCACTATTATGTAACGTTGTTCTGGAAGCCCTAACCAGTTCAGTAAAACAGAAAAAGAAATGAGATGGAGAGATACTGAAAAGATGAGAATTTTTTTTTTTTTTGCACATGATGATATGCTCAACAATCAACTGGGAAACAAATGGAACAAATAAGGACCTATGAGGGGGCTGCTTATAAGACGCAAAAAGTCAGTAGTTTCCTATACACCAGCAATAACCAATTAGATGATATTTTTTAATCTCATTCATAAGAATGATAAATATGTGTATAAAATATCCTGGAATAAACTTACCTGGAATTGTGAAACAGTGACAAGACCACTAGGGGTCATTAAAAGAAGCCTTTGAGTAACTGCAGAAATGTAGTAGAGCTGGATGAAAAGTCTTAATTTGTAGAGATGTCACTTCTCTCCGGATTAATAGTTTCTGTCAAAATACAATGTGATCACCCATAAAATTGCCAAATAATTCCAAGGTTTATCTAGAGGAATAAATTAGTGTGACTAAGGCATTTTTGAAAAAGAAAGAGTAATGAATGAGGGGCCATTCTTCTCCCAGATGCTAGAACGAACTGTCAAATTAAAATGGTGGGCGTTGGCCACCGGAAGATGCAGACCACGGGAACACTATAGAAGGTCCAGAAGTCCAGCCTGGCGTTCACCAAATCCCAAGTGGTGATGAATATAGCGTTTAAATCTTAGCGTTGGAGTGGCAGACCAGCCAAGCGGAAAGGAAAGTTAAGCAAATTTCATGTTTTCGTATCTTAAGATACATTCCAAATAGATTAAAAAGTTAAGTGACAAAGAAAACCATTTTGAAAATGCAAGAAAGTATAGGTGAACATTTGTATAATCTTGAAATGGGTCAGACCTTTCTAGACAGAAACTTCATTTGTTCCCACCTCACCACATGAAAATAAAGGTTTTCGAGACAGCTGATAACACTAACTAAATTATCTGCAGTGTATAATATATATACAAGTTACCTAAATAGTAATGATGCTGCTGCTGATGATGATAGAAAAGACATACTCAAGTAGAGAAAAAGGATAAAAGACATATTTACAGTTTTCATGTTTTATGCAGCCTTTGTCTCAGCAAATGTACTCATTTCTTTCTAAGTAATCTTGGATGTGGGGAAAGATTTATTTATGAGGATATTCACTTTCTCATCCTTTACAAATGGGAAAGATTAGAAGCAATTCAAACGTCCAGCAGTAGGGAATCGGGATCATAGACTGTTTCACGGTCGTCCAGTGGAGTCCTGGGCAGCATTTAAAAGGATGATAGGTCGAGTTTCCTGGGGCTGCCAGAACAAATTACCACGAACTAGGGGGCTGAAAACAGTAGGAATTTATTCTCAGTTCCAGAGCTGGAAGTCCGACATCCCGGTGTCGACAGGGCCATGCACGCTCCCTCTGTCAGCTCCAGGGGACACTGCTTCCTTGCCTCCTCCAGCTTCTGGTGGCTCTAGGTGTTCCTTGGCTTGTAGCTGCATCACTCCACTCTCTGCTCTGTCATCACGTGGCCTTCTTTGTGTGGCTGCACAGGCCATCTTAGAAGGGCACCAAGTCTTGGCTTTAGGGCACATGCTAATCCAGCATGACCTCATCTTAACTAATTACATCTGCAAAGACCCTATTCCAAATAAGGTCATATTCTGAGGTTCCAAGTGGATGTGAATTTTGGCGGGACACTATTCAACCTGGTGTAGATGATATAGAAGAATATGTAAAAATGTAGAGAAACGTTTACAAGATATTATTGAATAAAAAGGGTGGTTATGAAGTAGCAGATTTGGTGCGATACCTTTAAATAAACACATTGTGTATGTAGATCCTAGCAGAGAGTGACAGTGTGTTCACCAGAAGATTCCCAGGGGTGATGAGAAGGTCAAGGCTTGAATGATTTTAGTTGCTCTAATGAATTTCTGTATTTTCTAAATTTCTAGCAATGAATATGTGTTTCTTTGATAAGGAGAAAAAATAATAAGCCTTTCTAATCTAGGTTGTCCAACTATAGGTTTAAAAATGGATTACTATTCCTGAGTGCCACACCTTTAGTCGAATCAGTTAAAAATATTTGAGTTTGCAAAGTGCAAAATACATTTATAAATATGTCATTTAAAACAAAGAAGATTTCAATGTTGAATACTTCCCTATCATATAAGTCTTTGTTTTTCCAAATTGCAGCTAATTTGAGATATATGGGTTTGAAGTGTTCATTTTAAGTGTTTATTGCTGTTTTTGTTATTAAAATTTCACGGGCTTTGTGATAATTAGCTGTGTCCGCCATCCAGGCACAGTTGTCTAAGGTGAGTGTGAACTTGAGAACCTTCTAGCTGTGTGTGTCTCGAGCGCTGTGAGATATTTGAAATGAACAACTGCCGTGTTTGTTGTTGTCCTAGACAAGGAATTGTTCCTCCAGGTCTTACAGAAAACGAATTATGGAGGGCAAAGTACATCTACGATTCTGCTTTTCATCCTGACACTGGCGAGAAGATGATTTTGATAGGAAGAATGTCAGCCCAGGTGCCAATGAACATGACCATCACAGGCTGTATGATGACATTTTATAGGTAAGTTAAGGAAATGTAACGATTCTCTTTATATGACAGAAGCTTAAACTACGTTTTTGTATGTAAATAGTTACATTGAAATAAATGTCATTTCATGTTACCATTTTGTATAAATGTTGTATCTCTGGGCCTTGTTGACGTTTTCCCTCTGCTGGATAGTATTCTCTTTCTTGTTCAAACAGAAGTTGAATTTTTCCTTAAATCTTAGACCCAAAAGAAAATGAGATGGAAAAAGAAAATAAAGAGAGTCTCTAAACAAATTCTCTTTTTAATCCATCCCGATGATAAAGGTGTAAGCGTAGGTGCGGGTGTAGATGTGGAAATAGACACTTAGACTTGTACGTGCAGTGAGGGGATCAGGACTATTTAGCCTACAAAGGGCTTCTTTTTTCCCCCAAGAGAAGGGGCCTGACATTTATTGAGCGCTTACTCTATGCCAGGCTTTCTACAAAATTAAGTTTGCAAAATTGAGTGAGGTAATGTCATCCTCACTGTAGCCCTCCAAGCTTGGTGTTACCCACATCTAACAAATGAAGAAACGGAATCACAAGGACAAAAATCTTTCTAGCCGCACGGATCCTAAGCCTTTGACCCAGAAGGCACAGCCTTTGTCTCAGAGTTCTCCCCTCTCCAGCCCTCCGCCCTCCAGTTACCGGGGTTCCCACTTTCCGTTCTGCACAGCGGCCGGGCCCCGAGCGATGGTGGGTGTGTGATGGGCTGCTCTGTTGCAGGACCACGCCGGCTGTGCTGTTCTGGCAGTGGATTAACCAGTCCTTCAACGCCGTGGTCAATTACACCAACAGAAGTGGAGACGCGCCCCTCACTGTAAAGTAAGACTGTAAGATGTAGCCATCCTCTTCGCTCTCCAGCCTTCGTTTGATTCAGTGGTGATGCTCTCCTGTTTAGGTGGCCCAGGGTTCACCGGCTCAGATCCTGGGCACAGACCTACACACCACTCATCAGGCCATGCTGTGGTAGCATCCCACATAGAAGAACCAGAATGACTTACAACTAGGATATACAACTATGTACGGGGGGTTTAGGAAGGACCAAAAAAAAGGAGGAAGATTGGCAACAGTTGTTAGCTCAGGGCCAATCTTCCTCACCAAAAAAAAAAAAAGTATATTTGGACAAATTGTTTATATTGTTCAGACTATTATGGAGCATATTTTAGTGCTTCTTTTCTTCCCTTTCTAGCAAGATAACTGTTTTCTCCAGCCTCCCTTCTAGGCACTCCTAGTGCTGTTAGTGGTGCTGGTGGGAGCATAGCTCTCCCACACCTCAGCTCCTTCTCCCTGCAGAACACACAGCAGGCAGTTCAGATATACCCTGAACCTGGGGACAGATACCAAGTCAAAATAGGGGATCAACAATGTGGTCTCTGCAGAAATCAAGACAGCTTTTTTTAGATCGGATTTGTCTTTAAAATAGGTCATCTTTGGAGCTAAAAAGAAAGAAAATGGGCTTAAAATTTTGCCTCCTGTAAAAGAAATTTTAGACAGGCTTAAGTGATTAGTTAACCAGAGCTTTCAGCACAACTTGTGTAACACTTCGAAGTGCTTTCTTTTTTGTGTTATCACTTTAAATTGCATCTGACAGTCTGTATTCTTCTACTGTCGTCACCTGGAATGAAGGATTTGGAAATCTGCAGCCAGCAGTGTTACCACCCCTTCCTTTCGTCCATTCTTGAATTAAAATTTATTTTAAAATAAGGTAGACTTTCTTGGGCTTAATTGTATTTTGAAGGTGAAACTTTGAGGATTTTTATACACTAAGATGTAATTTTAAGAATGGCAGCATTGTATTTTTACTTTCAATAAATGAGAAGTTTTTTTTTGAGGAAGATTAGCCCTGAGCTACCATCTGCTGCCAATCCTCCTCTTTTTGCTGAGGAAGACTGGCCCTGAGCTAACATCCGTGCCCATCTTCCTCTACTTTATACATGGGACGCCTGCCACAGCATAGCTTGTCAAGCGGTGCCATGTCCACACCCGGGATCCGAACCGTTAAACCCTGGGCCCCTGAAGCGGAACATGCGAACTTAACCCCTGTGCCACCGGGCTGGCCCGAGAAATGTTTTTGATTTAAGCAAACATACTAGAAGCATTTGGCCCAGTGTGTGTTTCTTTACGTTTGTGGGTTTCTGCACACTCACAGCTCCCTTCCTTTCTTTCCCCTGCACGTCCATATGTTCTCTGTCTGCTTGTTTTGGGTCCTAGTCAGGTTACATGTGAAGAAGCACATTTGTTGTGGGTCTACTTGCTTTTTCTCTGGATTTCTCTACTTGTAGAGTAATAATGAGTATTATTTTGTGGCATCTCCATTCTCCATTCTTAATCATGCTCTTTCACATTTCCCTCTCATTTCTTCAAAAAATGTTGTCTCTGAGTTTCCTGACACGCAGTCGTTTATGCACTGTTCTCTTTCTTCTCAGTGAATTGGGAACGGCTTATGTTTCTGCAACAACGGGTGCTGTGGCAACAGCTCTAGGACTCAATGCATTGACCAAGGTACTTGGATTTTTATTCCCATAGTATAGCTTCTTAATTTGTCCTCACCTGCCGGGCTCTAAGTCTCTCTATTATTTCTCAAAATAGCTCAAGTCTTGGTACTTTTTTATTATAGTCATTATCTTCAACTGTATATTTTAATTATATCTTCCAGTAAGCTTGGGAAGGGGTGTCACCGGTAAGATCTGCCAAGCCCCTGGTCTCTTCCTGACACTGTGCTTTAAGTGCTAAATTCAATGCTAAGTGCTCACCCTCAGAACCCCCCCTCTGAAGAGGTGGGGGAGCCAGCATCTGAACTCAGACTTTGGGACTCCAGAGCCCCCTCCTCCGACAACCACACTAAGCTCTCAGAATGTTCTAGAAGTCTGCATTGTCCCAGTGTGCCCATGCTGGAAATATGAAAATATCTCTAGGAAACAAGTTTTGAAAGTTCTCTTGGCCTGAGTTTCTGTACAAACAGGACTCTGCATTTTTAGCAATTTTCAAGAAGAAACAAGTATTTCCATCCAATACTGCAGGGAAAGTCACACAACACTCTTGGACTCTCGTTTCTGCAGCACGTCTCACCACTCATCGGACGTTTTGTTCCCTTTGCTGCGGTGGCTGCTGCTAATTGCATTAATATTCCATTAATGAGACAAAGGTAAGACTAACGTGCACTCTTAGGACTTGTGCTTGACACTGGAATCTCTTGTAATAATTAGCTTTGTTGAAACTCTTAAAAAATTATTTTAATATTTACAGATGAAATTATATGAGATCTGAAATTTGCTTCAAAATAATCTGGCGTTGGGGGCGAGGATGGCTCCATTGATGAAACAAGCTTAGCCGGGAGTTGTTAATTGTTGAAGCAGGCTGATGAGTACCTGAGGGTTTAGAATAGTCTTTCTACTTCTGTATAATAAAAAGTTAAAAAAATATATCTCACACTTACATTTAGTTGTGCTAGGGCTGGGCAGAGAAAGTCTACGCAAAGAAAGTTTATTCTCTAAAAAAGGTTCTTTTTCACCCTAGAATTTTTGGGGGAGATTTAAAATAATCTATATCTTTGAAAGTACTTTATAGAACGGCAAAAATTAAAGGAGAAGAAAGAATGAGAAAAAGCATTTAGGAGTGGATAACGAAAAACGGGGTAACGCTAGGAGCTCTCCTTCTGGTGTTAGTGTAGTTAGCAAACGTCAGAAGTGCCGCGACCTATGACGCCCTTGTCAGTGTAGTCAGTTGGCTTACTAACGCTCCGTACTGTGTCTGTCTCATTTGAAGACTTGCTCAGATTTGCACATCAGCATAGAAATTAGCCTTTCCTTTATGTTAGCGTTCGCCCTTTGAGTCATATTTTTCTTAAAACTGCTATACCTTTTTTACAAAGTTTATTAGTGTTATTTTACTTTTGTGCCTATCACACGAGATTAAACTTGTCCGTGCTATTTAAAGTAGACTTATTAGTGCCGCAAATGACACTTGAGCAGGTTTTTGGATCAGTAGGGACCTGACCTTTCACAACATAAGCGCTGTTTCCAGCCATTGCACACCGGGATCTGTGAACGCCTGTGTGCCATTTGCTCCATAGGGAACTCAAAGTTGGCATTCCTGTCACCGATGAAAATGGGAACCGCCTGGGCGAGTCGGCAAATGCTGCCAAACAAGCCATCGCACAGGTAGTCATCTCCAGGATTCTCATGGCAGCCCCAGGCATGGGTTAGTAGAACTTTATCCTCCCCTCATTTATTCCATAAACATAGATTGAGCGAGCGTTTCTGCATCTTTGAACCAAAGAAAAAGTCATTCCCCTTGGTGGAATTTACTTTCTAGAGGAGGAGACCGAGAATCAACAAAATAAGTAAGTGAAATATATATGTGAGATGATGATGAAGCCTGAGGGGAAAAGGAGGAACGGGGATCTTGGGTGGAAGTAGACGGGATGGCCAGGAAGGAGTGCTGGGCAGAGGGGGAGGGAGCTGCGTGGCCCGGGGGCAGATTCTAGCAGTTAGAACAGCAGGAGGGGGGGCGCCTGCCTGGTGTGTCAGAAGCATTGCAACATGGCAGGTATGGCTGGAGTAGAAAGAGGGAGACGGGAGCAGGAGAATGGAGTGAGCGAGGCCCCAGAGGGCAGAACATGGATGGCCCGCAGGCCTTTGGAGCCCTGGCTTTTAATCTGAGGGGTAGGAAGCCATAGAGGGTTTTGAAGGGGAGTGGCATCATTCATGTGTCCACGACTCCAGGGTAGGCTGGTCGGGACGCTGTCGCAGTGCTCCAAGCAAGCGATGACGGCAGGTTGGACCAGGGCAGTGATAGTAGAGGTGATGAGAACTTGAAGGGAAAGAATTTGATCTTTGTAAATCTTGCAAAGAAACTTCCCGAAGTTCTTGAATAGGAATTTCTCCTGAAAATGTATTTGTATCAATTGGAAACCCTTAAAACACAGAGCAAGTTGGGTCGGCTAGAGCAGCCATGAACAAACTGTGCACCAGGTTCCTACTCAGTTCCGTCCTTAGGGCTTGGCAGCAACATGACCAACAGCAGAAAATCTACATTGTGTTTTCTCCTCTGGGAATCACCGGTCCACTCCCAAGGCTTCTTAGAGCTCTCCTCAGGCCAGGGGCCTAGAGAAGCTTCTCAGACTTACTCAGGACCTGGAGGGCTGGGAGTTACAGTGCCCTTTGCAGAAAAAATAGAAATTAGTGCGTTTAATTTCCTCATCTAAACTGTATGCAAACAGCACTTGGCTGTTAACTGAGCTCTCGACAGAAGCATACGTAATCAGCCACTCTCAAGTTTTCCCACTACTTGTTGTTGGCTTTAAATTCCTTTCATCGCTGTGAATGCTCATCAGCAGACAAGTAGGAGTGGGCAACAAAGTTGAAAAAGAGGGCATGAAGGAAAGCTTTGATGACCGTCATATTCACCTTCCAGCTCATGGGGGTTATCTGACTGAAGCCCCATTAACTGATGTAACGAGGTGCACTGTGGAAACCACAGTCGTGAAATGTAGGCCAGGGGTCCCCCGAGCCACTGACCTGCCAGGAGGTGGCGGGGACGCCCGACACGCCTGCGGAGCCCAGATTTCCAGATTTGCCAAAATCCAGCTTCTCCGCTGGGCTTGCTTTTGGTTTTGTACTTTCCCATTTTGAAGTATGAGTCTCCGCTTTGGAGTTCAGCCAGCCCAACAAATCCATTTCCTCTGGCTTAGATAATAATCTAGCCCCCAGAGGAAGAACATAGTTTTTCTATCCCAGTGAAAAAGGTGATTGACATATTGGAGTTATGGATGTCACCATTTAGTCTGATAAAAACTGTGAGTAAATCATCTAACACTGCCCAATGTTTTACGAGTGTTATTACATCCAATCATCCTGTCCAGTTTGGGCCAATTCTCCCCCTGTTATGGATGAGGAAAGCAGAAAACTAAGGCTCAGAGAAGTGAGGTAACTTTTCCAGGAGCACCAGCTAGCCAGTGGTCTGCCTGAGTCAAGGCAGCAATCTTTATGCTGCTTTATACGCGTGGAATGGACACCCAGGGGAGGTTGGGTTTGTCTTATTAGTACGGGGGTAGAGGTCCTCATGTTTGTATTGTTACATATTTAATGTTAAATATAAAGTTCTCTTCAAGATTATAAAATTTTTTGCCTGGCAAAGAGCATTACATTATTTTTCAAAAATCTAGAGAATGGGAATAGTGGATTTTTTCTTAAATACTAAAGTAGTTTCAAGAATTATTGCAATTGGCTTCACTCTGCTAGTGTGAAAATAGCCTGAAAGTGACTTAAGCCTTTTGTGAAATTGTTGGGGGAAAAAAATGTGAGCTAAAAATAGATATTAAGTGAAGATTTAAGTAGATCTATTTTTACTTCCAGCTATCCCTCCATTTATCATGAACACTTTGGAAAAGAAAGCCTTTCTAAAGGTAAGCCCCAATTCTGTTGATCATTGTCTCACTCTTTCAATTCACTTTCAGACTTCAAACTATACAGATATTTCCTCCTACATAAGTACTGAGTAAAGAATTCGGGGGCTGGTTACATTTGCTCACTTATGCAAATAAAAAGATGTTTCCAGAAACATTTTGTTTCTAATCTCAGATAGTTGAAAAAGCTCTCATAAATGCAGACTGCTCCCCACTTCTGTTGAGAAGTTGTCCCGCAGGTACATGCTTAGCTTAGTCATCAACTGGATGCTTCGCTAGCTAACAATGAAGAGGTGGTGTGAATTTGGAATTCCATGTTTATAACTCTCTATACATACTATCAGAAATGAAGAAATAATATGGAGTAGTAGCTTCATGGAACACTGAATTTAGTATCCTGATGTATTTTTCTTTGGTGATCTTATCTAATGATTCATTAATCTAGCAGCTGCCTCCCCTCAAGGTCTAAAAATATTACAGGATGAATTTGTAACCAAGGAATGTCCATGCACTGTATACATTCTTTCTGCATTGCTTTTTGTAGTTTCCATGATTTAATACAATAGTATTTATCCTTCACGTTAGTTTTCCAATTCTTGTAACAAGTAGGAGACAGTGGCGTAGGGTGACTCATTGGGCTCATGCTGTTTGGGAAGTGACACCATTAGATCTGCCAGGAGAAATGGGTCAGGCTCCTCGCTGGAGGGGCAGCTGTGTTGTGGTGAAGACCACAGCTCCCTTGGAGTGAATTGTTTTCAGTCTTAGAACCGTGCCATCGATGGGACACTAGAGCTTTGAAAAAAGGACATAGTTCTCAGACCAAGCCCTTCCTGAATGATTTCAGTGATTGAGAAAATTCTAAATGTCAACAGGTGTGTTCATGAAGCTGTAACCCTCCCTGTGGGCCGCAGATGGAAAACTAAGGCCAACACTAAGTCAACACTTCCTAAACACTCTTAGTACAATCACATTTTTCGAAAAATAAGCTAAGAAGTTTGCTATGAAGAAACAGTGCTGTCGAGCATCTCATTTGACTGACACACCCAGGTTGTTACGTGTTAATGCACCAACCCCGTGGGAGTGAAAAGGGCCCCTCTCTGCAGCGCCCCCTCCTATTGTCTCTTGGAAACGTTAGGAATCTGGAAGCCTCACATTCCATGAGCTTCCTCCTGTTGCAGTCTTACACAACACTATGAAGTGTTAGGTAGAGCGTCACAGTGGCTCTGCATTGACCGAATGGTCCCAGTGCTCCTTGTCCTCATAGGGAATCCAGAGACCCCTGGGCTACCCCAGGAAGCTACACCCTCAAAAACCCTCTGAGTCTCCATCCATCTCCTTTGTGGGTTTTTGACAGCCTTCGTTGTAAGATTAAGCAGAAATACAAAGCAGTTACGTGTATTTAAGCGGTAAAGCTATTAGTGTGGACCAACATGTAACTGTGCCTTGTTTTACATGTTACCTACTTCGTAGCTCTTGTTCTGATGATTCTTGAAAAAGTTTTCCAAAGTCATTTTCTGCTGCAAGGTTTCGAAAAGATACATCTAACCTCCGCCTCCCACTGAATTTAAGCAAAAGCAGGTTTTTTAAAGCAAGACCAGATTTCTGGGTAGGTACAGGGCTTGGAAACCGTCATCTTACCATGTTAGTTTGTCTGACGTGAAAGTGACAGCTTTTACGAAAGAAGAGAAGTAACAGGTTTTGCGAAAGAAGAGGGGTAAATGCGGATCATTGCACCCATAGGATAGCAGGGTTCCAATTGCGTGAATTTGCAGGTGACTGTGAAAGCAGTGAGGAGGCCGCATGCCCACTGTGGAGGCTTCCCCATTCCTTTCTCTCTGCCTCTCAGAGCCACCCAGCGCCCAGGTAGCAGAGGGGTCCAGCAGCTGGGCTCTGGAGCAGAGGCTCTGAATCTTGCCTCTTGCCACTGCTGCTGGGACGTTATTCTGTGGTGTCTAGCTCCAGCCTGTGGATGTTGGGCACACTCTGGCTGCTAACATGTGTCCTGATCATGGCTTGGGATTCCAGAAATTCTCTAAGAAAGTCTACAATTGTACCTACATTAACGCTGAAAAGTTAGGTCACCGGGGAAAACTTGATTCTCCCGATTCAGGCGTTCCTTCGAACTCCTGGGAGCTCAGTGCTGTTGGCAGAGTTGCCGCAGTTACTCTAATCTCTCAGTGACAAACACTGAATAGAAGACATAGTTGGTCACACTGCATAATTTTCTTGCTGTGACAGACAGAAATTGCTATAGACACAGCCTGGCATTTTCTTACATGAAGGAACCAGCAAATGATACAAGCGGTTAGCTACCATTGCCACACTCTCCTAGGCTTTTTCACAATAATAAGTGAATACATCTTTTGTTTTCCTTCCTCGTGTTAGTTTGCGGTTTTTAGCTTTGCTTGATACCGTACCCTTCAGTAATAATTTGGAGATGTGCCATCTTGCTTCCCTTTCCCAAAGAAGCCCTCTGCCTGCCCCGGCCCACCCCCCCAGAGCCAGAAGGGGCCACTGGCTGTAGAACCTCCGTGACAAGGTTGGGAGGAAGGATCAGAGTAGCTGGTGCGTGAGTCCGAGTGCCTCGCTAGCTGCAGGGGGTCTGGCTGGAGCTATACTCCACAGCTCAGTGGAGGATGTTGCTTTGAAAACGTAGCAGCTAAATGTTGTTGAGCTCCTCATACACACGTACCACTCCCAAGTTCGTGGTTGCCGTTACACTGAAATACGGCATTCTGCCCATGTGGAGAAGACCGTAAGACTTAATTGATAGTGTAGCCATTACAAAAACATAGGCAGAGTCGGCTTATATTAACTTCCATATGTTTCCATCTCCAAAGCATTTTCACGTGCTATTTTGAAAGGCAGGCTTTCCCGAGCGCCCTTACAAAGTCCCGGAGACGGTCCTCGGTGGCTCAGAATGTCCACGTGGGTGGCGTCTGCCTCGGTCGGCTCGGCTCTCTGGTTGTTCCCATAGCTCTGGAGGCCACATGTGCCTCTGCAAGGATGTAATTATCTGGGCTTTTACCTTGGGCGTGACCCAACTCGTCTGCAAACACAAGGCCGATTGAACATTCTTGGCTTTTTAAGTGGGGAGCCTGGGGAGCTTTCGGCATGACTCATCCTTCCCCTCCGCCTTATCTTTGCCCAAGTGCAGTGCTGGAAGAAAGCAGCAGCTGCAGGCAGGTGGCTCACGGCAATCTGTGCAGTAAACCAAAAAGTTCACTGCCTGAAATCTGGTACTTCAGAACAGTCTTCAGGAAGAAGAGCTCCTGTGGTCTCCTTACCTTGCTGGCACTCTCACTGGGAACAAAACTGATATGGTTTGGGTGAGAGAACAGTTCCTCATTCCTTAGGTTCTAGTTCTCTGTCCCTATAATAAAGGTAGGCCGCTCCGCCTACTCGGTAGGTTGTCAGGATTGTCTGCTAATTGAGTGTGAATGTAGCATTTCTTTGTTCATTCATTCATTTATTCAGCAGCCCTTTGCTGAATGCCTTGCATGCCAAGCAACATGCTAGTGCTGGAGTCATAGAACAGGGCTTGAGCCCTGCTCTCAGGGGCCTTATAGCACAGTGATGGGAAGAGGCACAGGGAGTGGCTCCGATGCACGGTGTCTACAGCACAGGGCTCAGAGCAAGTAGTGGAGGCGTCTCCCCCGACTGCAGGAGAGGGCAGAGACTTGAAGAGGTCCGGCCAATGGCACATGCTCTGCAGAAGCTCAAAGGGGAGACAGAGCATGGCTTGTAGGGAGACTTGTGGATGGTCAGGTCCTAGGATGTGGGCCATGTGTAGGAAATTGACTGTAGCATATATAAAAGTTAATTTCCAATGATTCATAGACTGCAAATGTAAAAATCTACAATTGTCAAACTGCTAGAAGAAAATATACTAGAACATCTTTGAGACCTAGAGTTAGGCAAAGGTTTCTTAGACACAACCATAGTAACATAGTACATAAAAGAAAAATTGACAAATTGGACTCCATCAAAATGTTAAAATTCTGATGTTTGAAAACTACAAAGAAAATGGAAAGACAAGAAACAGACTGCGAGAAAATTTATGTAAAGCATGTATCTGATAAAGGAGCTGCATCCAGGATGTGTAAAGAGCCCTCAACACTCGTTCAAAAAAACAGCTCAATAAACAGATGGGCAAAGTGTTTGAACAGACATTTAACCAAATATATGCAGTTTTCAAATAAGCACGTGAAAAGATGCTCAGTATCTTTAGTCATTGGGGAAATTCACGTTAAAACCACATTAGCTACCACTCAACCTATTGGAATGGCTAAAATTAAAAAGACTGACTATAACAAGTGTTGTGGAGGATGCAGAGGAACTGGTACTCTTGTCTTCTGCTAATGGAGCTGTAAAATGGCACAACCACTTTGGAAAATAATCTGGCAGTTCCTTAAAAGGTTAAACATATGCTTACCATGTGATGCGGCCCTTTCACTTCTAGGTATTTACCTGGGAGAAATGAGAGCATGTGTCCAGAAAAGACAGACCTTCACAGCGGCTTTATTTGCAGGAAAGACTGGAAACAACCCAGATGTTCTTAGCAGGAGAGTGGATTATCAAATTGTGGTACATGCACACAATGGAATACCCAACTCAGCAGGGAAAAGCAATGAACTGTTGACACATGCAGCAACATGAATGAGTCTCAAAAGAATTATACAACAGAGTAGATGCTCTATCTAAAATCCCAGAAAATATAAACTAATTTATAGATCAGAGGTGGCCAGGGAATGGGGTGCAGGGTTTAAGGGAGAGGGTGGAATTGCCAAGGGCACAAGGAACAAAGAAAGCCTTAGGGATGATGGCTATGTCCGTCAGCTAGATTGTGGTGATGGCTTCACAGTGGAATACCTATGTCAAAACTTATACTCTGCACATTAAATATGTGCAGTTTATCATCAGTCAATAAAACTATTGGAAAAAAGATCATTGGGAGGAGAAAGAATTTAGAGTCATAGTAACTTTTTGAGCTTTTACCTCATTGAGTATCTTTTAAACTTGTGATTGCTGTCTGTAATTCCTTCACACTTTTATTTAAAATACCCTCTGTTTGCACAGTTCTGTGCTATGTGAGACATGTCCCTACCCCGAGGAGTTCTGTGAGTGTGTGGGCGAAGACGAGACATTCACAGCTCGCTAATCCCATCTCAGACTAAGTTCTGTGGAAGAAGGAGGGATGAATTAAGCAGGATAGGGTGCTGGAGAGGAGGCAGGAGACGGGATGACATCCAGGTTGGGTTCCGTGGGATCAGTCAGTTCTCTCCAGGATCCTTGTCCTTACCAAGAGCCTTTCCAACAAAACCATCCCTGCCACCACGTCGGCCTTTCATTTGCATGCGTTCTTCTTTGAGATTACACGAGCTGTTCCCCAGGATGCAGGCAAGAGTCCACTTGAAATGAGGAGGCTGCTCACAGGGGCTCAAGTTCCTTCTTCCACAGGATCTCGTTCAGTACCTAGCTTGCCTTCCCATCACTGAGTCCGTCTACCAGCACAGACATCACACGTCTGGGAAGTGCTGGGGTGAGGATTTACCATCTCCTTGTAAAAATCCTTCATCCTCAGACAGAGCCGGTTGCCCTGGATACAGTATTTTCTTATCTTGCTCTCCTTTGAGGGGTGGGCCCTCTGCGTGAGCTCTGTGGGTCTGCCTCCTCTTGATGACGTTTCTCCCTTCCTCTCTAGTCCATGCCTCTCTCCCCTCACGTTAGCCCGTGTGACGTACCTTCCCACCAGAGGAGCATTCTCGGGGACGAGGGTACGCCTCTCATGCAAGCCTCTTTGGGACCCTGATCTTTTAACAGCTTGTGTTGACTCGTAACTAAGTCGGCTGATTTCATTACACCAACTCACAGCTTGGTTGCAGCTTTTTCAGTGGCCTCCTTTATATAACCATCTATCTCATCGCCCTTTATATTGTGTATTTTGCTACCACTCCTTTTTGAAAACTGAAGGTCTAACAGCACTTACTCTCCAAAAGACCAACCAACTTACTTGTTTCCGTTAAAAAAAGTGGCAGTCAAACTTTTTTTATGCCGGTGATAGTTTTAACCATACTGACAGCAACGAAAACTAAGAGAGGCAAGCTGCAGGGAGGAGGGGGGAACGTGTGTTGGGTTTCGGCCCTGTCCCCAGCCCTGTACTCAATGAGTGTCATCTGCGTGTCTCCCCCACACTTTCAGGAGGCTGCTGTGATCCTCATTAGCAGGTAAGGAGGCCAGAACTCGCAGAGGCCGGACTCTGCCCTTCCCACAGCCGGGCGGAGGTCTGAGGGCAGGTGTGTTTGTCTTCCAACCGGGCGCCAGGCTAACCTGCCTCCTGAGCCGGGAGATAAGTTAGAACTAAATGATAGCGATTTCTCCACCTCCAGAATACAGCCCGGCGTCACTCAGATGGTACGTGCACCGGGAAAACGAGAGCCACTGGTCTGTGCATGCGCATTCCTCGACCGATCAAGTGGGGCTGCAGGGAGTCAGGACTAACACGCTTGTTGCAGTGTTACCCCCGAATGTCGCTAATCACCTTCCATCTTGCTCTTGTGATGTGGAGAGGTTCCTTCCAGTGAGTCAGCAGGAGAAACTGTCTCTACGAGCCCCGGGTAAAAAGTATTCAGATAATTTATTTCTCAACACAGAGGTTCCCGTGGATGAGCGCACCTATTCAAGTTGGACTAGTTGGCTTCTGGTGAGTAGAGTTACTTTGATATAATTAACTTATTTTTTAAAGATACGTATATAGCATATGAAAGATGAGGGAAAGGGTAGATAATATGGGACACAAGTTTTGAAAACGAGACCATCCCAGAACATCTGGAACTTATGGTCCCAATAATTAGCTAGAAGTAAACTCCAGAGAAACCTACATTTGGGGCTAGTTGCATGATTCTTTTTTAAACTCCTGTTATATCTTTGATTTAAAAAATATTATTTTGGCAGTCCTTGGTAATAAAATTACACAAACAGGACATATTTTTGTGAGGCAATATAATGCTCGAAAGAAAGAAAAGGGTTTGTTATAAAAGTAAAATAGAATCCAAAAAGCCAACCATTTCCAAATACTCTGATTTGTCTTTTTTTTTTTTTAAGTTTGGTATTTGCCACACCCCTGTGCTGCGCTCTGTTTCCTCAGAAAAGGTACGTATTTGTTACTCTTCAGAATGATCATGCGTTTTAATCCTGGAAACCAGTTGAAGACGCAGGGGCCGTTGCTCCATTTCACTGGTGGGGAAGTTGATGCAGAAAGTGAGTGAAGCCAGGGTCTCTGAGCAGAAGAGAGACGCAGAAATCAAACGCGCGTCTGTTTAATTTCAAAACTCGCTACCTAGCTCTTTTCTACCCACTGCCATTACATTTGAAAACACTTTATTCTTTGATAAGAGTCAGGTTAAGTCTGATGCAAATTTGCTTTTATAAAAGTTTAAGCGTGGTTCATTGTCCTTCAGCCGTTGGCAAATGCGTCTCTAACGCGGACAGAGTAGCATGCCAGTCCCGCCCCCGGGACGGCAATTGCACACACTCGGCTTAGGTGGGTGGGGTATTTGCTTCCCTTCTGCCTGCTTAGTTTTTTGCCTTAAAAGCCTTATTGTGCGCTTGTCTTTCATTCCGAACTGCCCTTGAATCCTGCTTTTGATGTCAGGCCCGGAGTGACAGGCATTAAATCGGCGTCGCATGAATCTAGGTCTCAGCCTTCTCCTGACGGAACATCAAGGCACAGAGAGCCAGCATTTTGTTGTCTTGCTTTTGTTTAAGTGTCACCAGGCTCCTGCCTTTGTAACACTATTCTGGGGCCAACCGGTCCCAGACATCTGGTCTTTAAGGCCCTGGGCTTTCCAAGCAGGTCCGGGATGAGGTGTTCTGTTCTCGAACTGACTTTCTCAGGTCCCTCCACCTGATGAGAACCCCAGCTTTCATCCTCTCCTCCCCACTTTGAGCCCCACTGTTCTTAAGGAAGGAATTAAATCTCAAGGCGAGGGAGCCTTTTCTCACCGCGGTGCCTGTAGCCAGACCCCCCTTGGAGCAGGCGGCCCTTCAGGACCTGTTCTCCAAGCCCAGTGCAGATACATTTCCTCGTCTCTAAAGAGGAATACCCATACTGTCTAACTGTACAGACCCCAGAATCTCAGGCCGTAACGTAGGACAAGTTTGTTTCTCTGGTATATGGCACTGGGATCCCAGTGTCCAGCAGCTGACCTTGCACTCAGAGATTCAGAAATAGTGCCTGGGAAATGCTGAGGAGAGCGCCTGATACGAAGGAAACCCCTCATAAATGCAGCTGTTATGATTCTGAGATTAAAAGGATTTGAAAATCCATAAAGAAGCTTCCTACATAGGCTTTGATCTTGTTTAAGTGTTATGAGAAAAACAATATATTCATTCTAACATTTGTTTTATGATTAATTTAAACTCTAGGTATGGAAATTAAAAGTTTTCTATAACTGCTAGTGCCATGAGGCCACGTGTCCATGGAGAGTACTTGGTTTTACATTTGGGAGTCCAAGAACACTCTTAGCTTCCTCTGTTTAAAAATGATTAGTCTAGTTTTTTTACTTATACATTTGTCTGTATGTTTGTTTTTATTGTTGTTTCTTTCTTGTCAGTTGCATAGAATAGGATTAATCATATGTCTTAGCTCTTAACACACTGTCCTCGTTGGTCCAAGCATGACCCTATTTTATTTTATTTATTTCAATGATGCAGTGAACATCCATGAATCCACTGCCCAACCCATGAATGAAAATATTACCCTTAAGTTACCTCTATCTGTGGGTTCCTCCCAGCCCGTCTCGCTGCCTCCCCTGCAGATTTAAGCACTGTGTAAATTTCACATTTACATGCAATTACATTTTTAAATTTTCATCCTATATATGTATGCCTAATATTGTTTAGTTTTATTCTCTGGGGACTTTTTAGACAAGGGTGTTATACTATACGTATATGTACCATATAGTCTTCTGGTACTTGTCCTTTTTGTTCAACATCTTGTAACTAAGATTCATCCACATTAGTGCATGTAGCTACCGGTCATTTCATTTTCTGACTGCTATATAATAGTCCATTGTATGAATACGCCACAGTTATCCATTCTTCTGCATGAATGAGAGAGAATGAAAACACTCCTTATCAGAATTTCTGGGGAGCAGCAAAAGTATTGCTTTGAGAGAAATTTATCACTTTCAATGTCGATATTAGAAAGGAAGAATGGCTGAAAGTCAGTGCGCTGAATGTCCAACTTAAGTTTAAAATAGTACAAAAGAACAAATTCCAGAGAAAGAAAAAAGAAAGAAGTAAGACCAGAAATAAATAAAATAGATAACAAGGAAAAATAAAGGATCCACAAAGTCAAAAGTTGGTTGTTTGAAAATTGTAGCAAAGTAGACAATTGTCTTGTGATATCAATCAAGACAAAAGGCACAAATAATAATATGAATGAAAAAGAGGCATAGGTATAGATTCAGCAGAGACCAATATGATAAGAGAATATTATCTACATTATCGTGTCAGTAGATTTTAGAACAGGCAACATGGACAAATTTCTAGAAAAATGTTAACAATGCTTAAAAATTAGAAAGTCTGAATTGCGTTATAGCCATTAAGGAAGTTGAAGTATTATTTAAACTGCTTCCTACAAAGAAAACACAAGAACCAGGTGGTTTTACAGGTGAATTTTCCTCAACTGTCAAGAAACAGATTATTTCAATTTTAAACAAACTCTCCTAGAAGATAAAAAAGAGAATATTTCCCATCATCCAATAAGGTTTGAATAACTTTGACTCCAAAATTGGGTTAGCCTTTAAACTACCTTAATAGTAATTATGTTATAGACCCGTGGAAAAACAGAAGGACCAAGAGGCAGTACAGCCTAGTGGTTAGGAGCATGGCTTTTGGGTGGAGAAAGACCTGGCCTCACATCTCAGTTGCACCTCTGGT